TAGCCCATAGACCTGGAGGCTTTTGAACATGACAGGGATTGAAAACTCTGCTATGGTGAGCAAAAGTGGAAATCCTAAAATGTATTGACAATCTGCAAATTACAGTGAGCTTGCAGTTATGGTGAACCCATTCTAGTCTAGAACAAACTGCAGTCTAAAAGAGGTACCTTGCCTTTTAAACTGTATTTGCACGTATTGTATAGTCTGTTATGGAAATCTTGTGGCTTATTAAAAGTTAAAACAGAATATTTTGAACAAAAAGTTCTCTCTAAGGCAATTATGCTTCTATATTACATAAGCACATTTAATAAAACCAGTAGTGATTCTTAAAAAAAAAGGAAAAACCTTCTCCCAGACAACATCTGGCAGAAAAAGTCCATTAATATTTTACAAGACATTTAGAGTCTGTAGACTCCTCCTTGCTGTTAAAATTTTAAGAGCTTTTTCAAAACGGCATTTCTCTGTTATTGCACTCTTAATTAAATTGATTCATACAGCAAATGCCCTAATAAGACTGCTCTAGAGTTTCCCTCCAAAAGACTTACACCTACACACAAAGCATTATACTGTCAAGGAGACGAGGATACTGAAAATTAAATTCAGTGAAGAATATTAATTCAGGTTTTTTGTGGTAACTGGTCTATAGATAAACAACCATAACTATATGAATCAAAAATGATCATCACATCCTCTTGCAAGAATTCCAGGGGATGTTCCAAATGGTTGTCTGTATCTGGTAAAGGGAGACCAGCAGATACTTCATTTCACAATGATTCTGTAAATGTCCACAGAATCAGATATGTTAAAATTAGGCCCAAGAACCAGACTTTACAGATGGAAAGACTGATCCTATAAAGTAAAACTCATCAACCTATTAGTACCCCCCACAGGATACCCTACTGAACTATATGGCAACTTTGCCTCTGCAAGGAGTGGAGGATCAGAATGAGAAGCCTTATTCTTAAAAAAAAAACCCTCTCATTGCTGTAAACGAGGTTGCAGGACTGGGATACCTAATACAACCTTGTGACCATCTCTGAGGATGAATACAGCATCTTTTTAATAATATACATATTCACTGGACACAAATTCAGGGCAAGAAGGAACTGAGAGTGCTAGGACTGATTTAAAATGCTGGGTAGGTTTAGAGAGGAAGAATTTATTACATGAATTTATCCAGGTCATGGAGCAAGCCCCTGGTCCCTCTCCTCTCTCTTGCCTACCCCATACAATAGTCAGCTTTTATGCAATATGACCAGGGATAGATCAAAGCTTTATTCCTATGTCACTCAAAATAAGTATATTTGTAAGAACACAACTGTTCCTTTTAGACTGAAATCAGGTCTTATAACATATTTTAAACAAAATCACTTTCATGCTTAAACAAATTGAAGGTAATTTGAATTTTATCAGCTGCATCCAAACTGCATCACTACCTACCTCTATGAACTAGAGTAGCCTGATTGTTATATTGGAAACTGTAATGCATGCAGAAACTTGTTTACAAGATGTAAAAACTACTCCTAATAATGCTGACATCAAGACAGACTAAGCAACAGAGGGGTTTATTCATTTTGCTGATATGCACGGTATATCAGCTCCAGCTTGTATTCTTCAGACGCTGCTTTTTTGTTCTCTGTCAAGAAAAGATGCTAATCTGCAGATGGTACCTAACTATCTGAAAACACATCTACACTGGGATGAGAAAAGCCCCATTATATAACAAGGAAACATTACAGTCATTATGAGGAGAAAGAAGTTATTTGATCCTGGCTCTGGCTGAAAGTTTGTGACATGAGTTTTGTTCTAAATTAATAGCATTTTTAATATATTTTATCCTTGTGAAAATAATTAAAACCAGAAAAAACCTTGAGATGTCTGCTGGTACCAGTTCTATCTTCATCTTTGTTTTAATTTATTTTAATTTTGCTCTTAAAAAAACTGGGGGATTATAAGCAAAGTGCATCATTAAGTTCTTATTAATTTCATAATACAGAGGCAATTCAGTCAAAATAGTGGTGCTGCAACTTTAAATTACAGAACTAGTTTGGTATTTAATGAGAGATTTAGCACAGCAGGGTTTCTGTTAAATTAAGTTGTGCCTTCGCATCACAGTGGGAAAACAGGTGTATATTGGTTTAAAATTATGGAAATGTTGACTAATTCCAAGGCTTGTAATCAAACAGCAAGGCACCCTGCAATATTTTCTTCCAAGAATCTGCATTAATCATTTATGTTCGGTCCTATTTTCTTCATGTCCACTAAAAGGCAGAAATTCAAAGAAATAAGAACGAGGTCAATATTTTCATCTCTCTGTTAAGGATGAAGTTTACCACTCAATCTACCAACTGTGTACAAAGCCTGTTACCAGCCTAAATTAGAAAGGATGGTGGCACATACAACATGCAACTGTAAATCAAGCCTTACATATGGAGACAGCTGCTCTGGCCTTCTAATGAACCAGAATCCATATGGATCATCCTTGGCTTTCCCACTTAGGTTTGTGGACCTGACCCTTATTTCAAGGATAACCCCCCAAAAGTACAAACAGTTTTCAAGTGATTGAAAATGAGAGACTTTGGGGGTCATAGAAGAAGGCTTTATGGGAGCCCGTACACCCCATAGGTTTTAATCCTTATTAAATTAAAAAGGTTTATACAATTTAAACTTGTTGATTTTGGAGTGTCATGTCAGTGTTTGCATGCACTAGGCTTTCAAACTAATTAAGCTTTGGAGTGTTGCGCAATGAATCCATGGACGTGATGCTTTAATTCCTGGCAAGTCAATCTAAACTACATCCAAGGAGTTTTACTTTAATGCACAAGAAAGGCTTTTAAAACATCCAGAAATTTCACTTGTGCAAAAAGACATTCAGTTGCAGCGCATGAAAGGGCAAAAAACATGGCGTGTACAAAGGTCCTTCTAGACAAAATCTAGTGTTACAGCAAAGCAGCCTGAGGCCGGCTGTCATACCAAAATGAAATGGGATGGCATTTTGAATACAACTGTACTCTCCTACTTGTCTGCTGTACATCAATACGTGACTGGCCATATTCATCCTGATGTGAATCTAGTCTGACTCACAATGGCAGTGGAAGGTGATTTCCATTTCTGCCAAAAGATTAGTGGTAGCCTCTGCACTGGGGCCTGTATGCTAGTTCCCTCCCTCTGTTCAACAGAAACTGCTTCTAGACCCTGATCGAAAGTCAGTGAAGTTAATGGCATGTGTTATAATGAAACTTCAACTGAAGAGATGTGGAATCCAATGTTTTCAATGCGCACATTGCAGAACCAGACAGAGTGAGCCTTCTCTGCTTCAAGTGAAGTTGTTTCATTAAATCACTGCTTTAGTATAATAGGTATTATGATCTACTGAAGATAGATTCTGGAGGACTTTCTAGAGACTGACTTCCCAAGCATTTTCATGATACTCCTGTGAATGGGTAGGGTTTATGGGTAACTCTCAGACATTGATCTTTGTAATTATATAGTTCCATAATACCTTACGAATTAATTCTACCGTAAACTGTGCAGGGTGGAGCAGACAGATATTACCATAGTTTTTGTACACGGCATATCCCCAAATAAGACATATACCTTGTTTTGGTAAGGCAGGATGAAGAAGTTTTTTTTCTAGGATCTTAACTGCCACAGCATGGGATCACCATGGCTGAATGTCAGTCCATCCAGGAGGGGCAGAGTCGATTCATTAGCATCACAACCTCTAGCTCCAATTTCAGCACTACAGCTTTAACCCTCTCACAACCACTGTTGATTTGGCAGCAGCTTTTGGCTGCTCAGTCAAAAGCTATTGCCAATTAGGCAGTGGCTGTGATAGGACTAAAATTAACCATGACCCTAAAGGGTACCTTCCTTCCCTCTCTCCTGGACAGGAGAGAAGGACAACTCAAGGCAACCATATTATAGCATCCCAATGCATTAATTCCAGTGCAGAAAATATCTTCCCTGCTTAGGACATTCACCCTGATTTCAAAGGGATGATTTTTTGGGAAAGGTAAACAGGATATGTGAATAGATTATGGTAGTTTTTTCAAAGTGATAGGGTTGGATTTACATGTAGCACATGGGAACTACGGAGGAATTTTGCCATTTGCTCTACTCCTCACAAAGTGCTATATATTTTCGGTGCCCTTTGTTTTCACTTTCTGTTTAGACCATCACCCTCTGAGTCATCAAGTATTTGTCATATCAGAATAACAACAGTAACAAAAAAATCATTTGGGTCCTGCAGACTGATTTTAAATATTAGATCGACTGATCACTTAACAACTTCCAGTTACCAAGCCACTACCTTGAAATGCAGTGCTTTCTACCACTGTAATTAGAACTTAAAGAGGACAGAATTTCACAGATGGTGTATTTTGTTTAAGTAGCCCAATAATACGAGCCCATCTATTGTTACTACCAGTGTGAAGAATCAGTGGGAATGGATTGCTAAGAACACCAAAATGAAATGGGATGGCATTTTGAATACAACTGTACTCTACTAATTGTCTGCTGTACATCGATACGTGACATCCAGAGTAATTGGCAGTCAATTGTTTCGAAACCATTGTGAAAGTTACACTGCACCTATGCTGGGTACATGTTTTTAACCACACCCTCTTTGAAAAAGAACCCCTGGTGGGTAAAGTTTTACTTTCCTTTTTCTTTTCTTTTCTTTTCTTTTCTTGTCCTTACTTTTATTTTCTTTAAATGTTAGCTCCCTTTACACTCCAGCAGCTGCCGCTAACAGTAGAATCCACTATTATTTCCAGCTAGGAGACATTCTATAGAAAAGCAGCTTTCTTCAGAGCTAATGCCATTGCTACTGGACTGGCCAGTTGGCATAGTTACTGCATGTGAACCATCAGGTCAAGAACTCTCTCTTGAAAAGATCAAAGTCATTTGGGGCACTAAGAGCCTATAACTAGCATCTTCAGCAAAGGGGCTATTTTCCAGCAATAAAGTGATTAGGATCAAAAAGTAAATGTACTCACCCCAGGTAAAGTTTTAATATTGTGCAGTGCATTCTGTGCCTCAAGTGCAGCTTTTCTTGTATAAAATGTTACGAAACAACAACCTAGAGAGAGAAATGAAAAGCTTTCAGAAATTAACCAGAATGGTTTGCAAGTGCACAATAGGAAAAAAAATGATTGAACAATTGTATTATGAAGGCTGAAAATGTGAATTATAATGAGCCTGCATGACTGACAAGAATAAAAAGAACCTTTTATTGTTTAAAATAAAAAATCCATCCCCCACATGCATTGTATCCATAGCACACCTACCTCTTCAGCAGGCTGTAACCACTTTGGGATTAACTTAACCAAAATTCAGTCAACTCCGAAGTGTAAACAAAGTTAAATTTTCCTCAAGGACCCATTAAAGTGTGATTATAAAGCAGCTTGAAAGCTCAGAGTGGTAAAGATTTGCCATTGCAGCCCAGATGGAAAACTGGATTAAAAGGAAGCCCTCACTTAAAGGAATACATACATATGTGCTGATGTTTTGTGGTAAACCAGGCTTTCCAGTAAACTGTGCAGAGCTGGGGGCACCATGATCAGGAGTGTCTCATTAATGAGAAGCAATTTAGCCTGCAGGAGAGGTCCATACTGAAGAGATATAGGAGATAGCTGCTGGATGAGGGTGCTGATCAGTTGTCTAGCTGCACACATGCCTAGTCCTCACTAGAAGAGCAGATTTGTGACCAGAAATAGATCAAATGATAGTGCTTCTATTTTTTCCTCTAGACTGCCAATTTTAATGTATACCTCTTTGGCTATGTTTCCATTGAAGCTGAAGGTATAATTGTAGGTAGGTAATGGCTAACAGAGGTAACCATGGGCTCTGACAGATGTGCAGGCCCCCGCTCTAACTCATGGTGCTTTACAGAAAGTGCTATGAGTTAGAGCACCGCCCTGCCCCAACAGATGTTGTCCTGCTGGGGTGGTGGGAGGGGGCGGGGGAATCAAGCCTGCCAGCAGGTGAGCATCCAGCTGAGAGCCACCCCTCTCCCCAGCCCTGCCATCTGACTGGGGAGAGAGTGAGCTAGGGGGAGGCCGCAAGGTGGAAAGGCTGTGATCTACCTGCCCCCACTCCAGCTCAGGCTGGGCATGCCCCAGATGGCAGCTCACTGCTGCTTGCTTTCCTCTCCCGCCTCTGCGGTTGGGCTAATGCAGCCCCAATCATGAAACAAATTAACCCAAGGGATCACAAGTTCCCTAAGGCGCTCTAAAGCAGAGCACCTTCATCTGATACCTCATTTGAGGAGGGTTCATTTTTTGTGCAATCAGCTTCAAAAGCATTCTGCAGTTGTGCATGTGCCACAGCACAGCTGTAGACTGACTTTGGGGGGCCAGTTGCACAAAAAATGTAACTTCCATCTGCACCCCACAGAAGTAAACATGGGACAGTGGTAAACTTTAGTATAAGCTAGCAAACTAACTATTAATTTGAAGATCTTGGTAGGTTTTCAAAGCTGATGTTTATGACCCAGAACATTCATTCCTATATGCTATCTAGATTAAAGCTACTCAGGTATCCCGGCTGCAATCACATCTTTGGTAATGGCACAGACAGACCTCAACAGACACAACATGGACTCTCATCCCTGAAATCAGGTTGCATATGTATTATGTATGGGGCTGGAGCCAGTCTTGTGAAGGTTGTGCTTCAGCATTCCAGCAATACTGGAATAAATACACTGACCTATTTCAGGGGGGTTCACAGAGGAGCTTTCAGTTCAAAGGCACTACACACAGAAGCAAAAAGGATTATTTCATATAGATCAAAATGTTGTTTTACTAGATATTTTACACATATATATTTTACTATGGATTCAGAAAATATTCCTCATGGTGTAGCTATAAACATGGATTTCCAGGAAGTCTAGAGATTCTCCAAAAACGCACAGAAAACAGAAGAAATGTCCAGAGTCATGAACATCTATAGCAGCCTTTTTGTTCCCTGAATTGATGAGTGTAAGGCAAGGTGTGGGAGAGGAACGATGATTCGCCTTCTGGGTGGCAAATGGGCACAAAGATATATCAACTCCATTCGACTCCTGCTTATTAAAATGATGTTATATGTCATACCAGGCATTCTAGTCTCCACTTAATTATTTAATGTCATCACAGTGGTAAACAGGATGCCAGAGAGAGAAAACCCAGCAAATAATCTTAGTTTGGAGAGTGGAGAGGGCTGGCACCTCAGTCCAGAGGGAAGGTTTAAATTCTCAAAATTCTCCCTCCTGCCACCGTCTTGCTTGGTTAAACAGCACATTATGCCCTGAGCGCTCCCTGAGGCTTTCAGTTGGGCCAACAATGAATGTCACCTTTATAACAAAGTAAAGGTAATCTTGTATTCCTAGGTGGACTACAAGGACTTTGTCCTCTAACACAGAAGTGCACTCAAAGGCAGTATAATGCGCTGACAGGCAAGCAATGTAGACTTAACACTGTTGGGAAAAAATCTTTCACAAACAAATGCTAACCAATTCCCTTAAAATTTAAGTGTTTACGAAACCGGCAATTATTTCAGTCAACTGATGATCATTCAGTAGGAATTTCTAAATCAGTCAGAGTCTGATTTTTGAGGCTCATGCTACTTACGGGAGCTTAAAAATCCTCCAGTCTGATGGCAGGCTTTGTGATTTCAAAATTATTACTCCAGAACCCAAACTGAACAATAAATGCTAGACTATATGCAATTGGTAAATAATACAAGGTGGAAATATGTCACCAGGTTTTCTCTATGTTGCTAGCTAATTTAATATTGCACTTTTATTCACAGCTTCTTCCATTATTGGCCTGTGGGTATGTGCCATTTGTGAGCACTTTGTGACTGCTTTGTTTTTCCACACATGGCTAAATGGGGGTGGGGGGGAGGGCAGGGGCAGCTTCAAGTCCACCTAGATGGGAAGTTAATATTGGAGTGTAACCGAATGTGCAAAAAATGTAAGATCTGTCAGTTTGGTACTGTTTCAAGGAACCTGAATCTGAAAGCTGTGCACAGTGAGAGAGGATGAATTGATAAATTATCCTGAATCAGCTACTGATGGTAATTCCAACAAAGAGTGTGTAGAAGCGGCATCTAAAGGGGAAAAGAGTAATACTATTGTGAAGAACGAATGGGAGAACGAAGCAGCACGGGGAACAACACACAAATATTAGGCAGGTCTCCATTGGCCCTTTCTAATCTCATAACTTGTGGATCTAGAAACGTCCAAAGATGAGCTCACTTCATTTACTGAAATTTATTTAAACCTCCTTGACTTATTTTAAATTAAGTGACAGTCATTGATGTTTGGTTTTCAATCGGTCTTCCAAGAATATTGGGGATAGAAATAAAGGAATAACAAACATCTTCCATCTCCTAAAGGAAATTTTACACAGAAGACTATGGGATTTTCAAGAAGCATTTACTGCTAGGATCATAGTTCCAAGTTACATATGGTTATATGGTTCCAAGTTACATAAACCTATGCGATTTGAAAGAGCAGATCTGGACCTAAAGGTGCACATTTGTGCATAAAATTACTTTATCTTGACATTACATGGATAGGACAAAATGCAGAAGTCATCTTAGAATCTCTTCTGCAGAAATATGGGAAGGAGTGATCCCTATCTACAAAAAGGGGTATTTTATTGACCTAAAACTGACAGCTGCCCAATAGGATGCCAGGGATGTATTTTCCTTCCATTATTATTCCAAAGGAATTCATGCTACCTTTGGAAGATGAAGAGAAATCAGTGGTACCACTAGGAAAATAATTTTAGTAAAACATAGTGATATGGGTCTTCTTGGTCTTATTACAACCAATCAGCTGCACCTCAAGATGAAATCCTTGGCCTTTAAAACAAATGGAAACCAAAACAGAAATCTTTTGGCTCAGAACAGATGACAAAGTATGTCCATTCTGGAGCCTGGCAATTGTGATGTAAAGAGGAGCTGTGCTAGAAATTTAGCTTAGTTTAACTCTGTTGTAAGTTCACTTTTGACTATCTTTTGATTGTAAAGAAACTATACAATGTTATTAAACCCTCCCACCTCCCCCTCCAAACCAGGCTCTCCATCATTTTGACGCAATGGCTGTTGTAACAGAGCACAGGGTGCTCTGTTACTCTCAGGGGTGTGGGCAGCAAGCAGGAAGTCTGCAGCTGGCTGTTATCCCAGGCAATGCTGCCTGACTGGGAAACAAGGCCCAGCTGTTATATAAGGGTTTGGCCCTGAACAACAAAGCAGCAGGTGGCTGCCAGCCAGCTGGAGGACACCACCTGGCTGGAACTGCTGCTCACAATGTCTTGGAGATAAGGGAGGTACTATTGGGGATGGCAGGAGGCTCCTGGTCCTGGGCATGACTGGAAACTGTACCCTGCTGGGGTAGGGCACTCTGGTGTGACTGTCCATGGCAGGACAGCCCCCCAGAAATGTCAGGCCAGTTACCTCCCTGGTGAAAGGCAGGTGGGGGCGCCTGATAACCCCAGCCCCAACATCCCTGGTGGGTAGCTGGTCATTGCAGGGGAAGAGAGCCAGGAGGTAGGTTCCAGGGGGGATGGGGCTTGGAGCCCTAGTCCCATAGAGAGGGGCTTGGAGCCTGATGTGAGGGGCTTGGGGCCCAGAGAGTCACTTGAAGCCCAGGAATGGGGCTTGGAGCCTGAGGATGGGGCTTGGAGCCTGAGGATGGGGTGTGGAGCATTTGAAGGCCAGGTGTGTGCTGCTAGACTGAAGCCTGGGTGTCAGGCCATGCTGAGCTGGAGGCCGGGTGAGGCCTCACTGAAGCAGGGAGGCCTGGTGAGCCCCCGCTAAGCTATAAGGCGGGTGTCAGCCTAGACAAGCTGGAGGCCAGGTGCTAGGCTGAGTAGGCTTGGGTTGGGTGTTAGGCCACAGAACATCTATGAGGCATGGGGCATGATAAGGCATGGGATATGATAAGGGAAGGCTGGAGTCATGTAAATAGGCCCTTGTCACCAGAGCAGGTAAAGGGCATTCTCCTGCCTGATTAACATTCAGTAATTATTAACATCAAGGCGTGGCAGGTAAGGTGGGTGGGTGGTTAGCCCTAAGACAAGTGGGAAGGCC